GGGAAACAGACTGTTTATTAAATAGAGATGAGGGGTCACATGTTTTAGACCTTAGATTTAGAGACAAGACACACATGTAGGAAGAAGACAATACCCATCCAAGTGTGGTGGGCCTATCAAGACACACCTATGTGTCCTTATAATGGCCAACCACATATTTATATAATATATAGCAATTGTATGGCTTTCTTGTTTTGCTTTTTTTTTTGTTCTTTTGAGACGGATTCTCTGTATTGCTTTGGATGTTGTCCTGGAACTCACTCTGTAGACCAGGATGGCCTCAAACTCACAGAGATCCCACCTGCCTCTGCCTCCCCAGTACTGGGATTAAAGGCCTGAGCCACCGATGCTTTATGACTTCCTAAGATACATTGTTTAAAAGATATAATTTACAACAAAGCTCAAAGATTAAACAAAGTCAGGTTGGAGAGATGGCTCAGCAGTTAAGAGCACCTGCTGCTCTCCCAGAGGACCCAGATTCAGTTCCCAGCACCCACACAGCAGCTCACAACCCCCTGTAACTCCAGTACCACAGGATCCAACACTCTCTTCTGGCCTCTTGGGCACTGCACTGAAACAGACATTCGTATAAAAATAAAACAAATCATTAAAGAAGTAAACACAGCGCTTAAAAATTAAAATGTAAGCTAAAAATATAGGAATGGATTTACTTGTTTTTCTTATGTGAAAGAATTTCATTTTGTAAATGAAGTTGTAAGGTAGTTTCAAGAGTGCATTTCTAAGGTTGAGGGATGAGAACCAGTTAAACTCAGGGCCACAATCTGGTCCTAAATAAGCATAGCTTGTTGTTAGTTGTGTGCGCTCTCTCTCTCTCTCTCTCTCTCTCTCTCTCTCTCTCTGTCTGTCTGTCTCAACATAGGGTCTTAGCCTAAAACTCATTAGGAGGACCAAGCTAGACTCAAACTCACAGAAATCTACCTGCCTCTGCCTACTCAGTGCTGTTATAATGCCTGGCCCATACTTTGCTGCCACCATTGTTTAGATTTATTTGTCTTTAAATCTGTGAATGTTAGGGGGGTGTCTATGCACATAAGTGGAGGTGCTCTTGGAGGTCAGAGGCATCAAACCACTCTGGACTGGGGGTTCAGTGAGCTCTGAGCCTACCTGGGTACTGGGAACTGAACTCTGGTCCTCTGCAAGAGCAGTATGCTTTTAACCAATGAGCCGCCTCTCCAGTCCTGACCATTCTGATTTTGTAAGCCATGTTAAAGTTTATGACTTCCAATCAGATTCTGAAGTGAGGGGCTTCTTTCCCTCTGTGTCTCCTTCACTTTCTTTTTCTTTTCCACTTCACTACTGTATTAGCAGAGTGTCTACATCACTGTGTACACTATAACCCCTACATCACTGTGTACACTATAACCTCTACAGCACTGTGTACACTATAACCCCTACATCACTGTGTACACTATAACCTCTACATCTCTGTGTATACTATAACCTCTACATCACTGTGTACACTATAACCTCTACATCACTGTGTACACTATAACCTCTACAGCACTGTGTACACTATAACCTCTACAGCACTGTGTACACTATAACCCCTACAGCACTGTGTACACTATAACCCCTACATCACTGTGTACACTATAACCTCTACATCACTGTGTACACTATAACCTCTACATCACTGTGTACACTATAACCTCTACAGCACTGTACATACTATAACCTCTACATCACTGTGTACACTATAACCTCTACATCACTGTGTACACTATAACCTCTACAGCACTGTGTACACTATAACCCCTACATCACTGTGTACACTATAACCTCTACATCACTGTGTACACTATAACCTCTACATCACTGTGTACACTATAACCTCTACAGCACTGTACATACTATAACCTCTACATCACTGTGTACACTATAACCTCTACATCACTGTGTACACTATAACCTCTACATCACTGTGTACACTATAACCTCTACAGCACTGTGTACACTATAACCCCTACATCACTGTGTACACTATAACCTCTACATCACTGTGTACACTATAACCTCTACAGCACTGTGTACACTATAACATCTACATCACTGTGTACACTATAACCTCTACAGCACTGTGTACACTATAACCCCTACATCACTGTGTACACTATAACCCCTACATCACTGTGTACACTATAACCTCTACAGCACTGTGTACACTATAACCTCTACATCACTGTGTACACTATAACCTCTACATCACTGTGTACACTATAACCTCTACAGCACTGTACATACTATAACCTCTACATCACTGTGTATACTATAACCTCTACAGCACTGTGTACACTATAACCCCTACATCACTGTGTACACTATAACCCCTACATCACTGTGTACACTATAACCTCTACAGCACTGTGTACACTATAACCTCTACATCACTGTGTACACTATAACCTCTACATCACTGTGTACACTATAACCTCTACATCACTGTGTACACTATAACCTCTACATCACTGTGTACACTATAACCCCTACATCACTGTGTACACTATAACCTCTACAGCACTGTGTACACTATAACCCCTACATCACTGTGTACACTATAACCCCTACATCACTGTGTACACTATAACCTCTACATCACTGTGTACACTATAACCTCTACAGCACTGTGTACACTATAACCTCTACATCACTGTGTACACTATAACCCCTACATCACTGTGTACACTATAACCCCTACATCACTGTGTACACTATAACCTCTACAGCACTGTGTACACTATAACCCCTACATCACTGTGTACACTATAACCTCTACATCACTGTGTACACTATAACCTCTACAGCACTGTGTACACTATAACCTCTACAGCACTGTGTACACTATAACCTCTACAGCACTGTGTACACTATAACCTCTACAGCACTGTACATACTATAACCTCTACAGCACTGTGTACACTATAACCTCTACAGCACTGTACATACTATAACCTCTACAGCACTATGTATACTATAAGAGGCTGGACTGGAGTCAGGATGTCTGAGTTCCCGTCCTAATTCCACCACAGAGAGATGGTGTAATCTAGGAAAATTATCAGTCTTTCCTGTTATTAGAAACAATTTTTTGTTGTTGTCGTTTTCTGTCAAAGGTAGTTAACCCAACAAGAGTCCATATCCCTTAAATCATCCCATGCCATTTTGTGACATGCTTGAACCCTTAGGCAATCCCAAGCTTGATCTTATTCTACCCTTTAGCACCAACTTAGTCAATGGCATCAGAGAGCTTCTCAGTCAGGCAAAGTAGTGCACACCTGTAATCCCAGCACTTGGAAGGTCGAAGCAGGATTGTCTGAGTTCTAGGCAGCAGGAACTACAGGCTCTGTCTCAAACAAACACTAAGAAAGAAAAGAGTTTACTAGAAGATAACAGTCAGGACACTCTGCTGAAGTTCTGTGACATCCTGGGAAGGACACCCTGGCTGCCATTTCCATCTTCTCCCAGCATCTCAGCAGTACCAATAATCTGTATTTCTCTGCTCTTTCCTCTTCTATATGAAGTTCTTCCATTTTCTTAATCTGCCTTTTTCAGGCCATCACCAAAACTAACATCCATTGCCTAACCACCTATTGCTTGAAAACTGTATCCATCTCTATAAATGAGTCAAGCACATTACTGGATAATCATGATTGCCAACTACTTCTGCACCTTGAGACCGGATGGCTTTTCATGCCTGGCTTCCCAATGTCCTTCAATGCCAGGTACACTGGTGACCTTGAGTGCAGTGTTTGGCTGAAAGAAATGGGAAACACTGGCAGGCAACTTTTGGCAGGCCTCCAGCTTCCCCCTGCTTCCCCCTGCATTCTACAGGAAGTCGATTATGACGTCTTCCTTTCCTTGAGGTAATTTTACTAGCTCTCTGAGATTCTGGGATAAATGGTTCCCCCAAACCTTGTATCCATCCATACCTTCCAGCTATCCCTTCTGAGTTATCAGATGGAGCTTCACTAGAAGACCTATTCCCTAGAGAACCCATAGTTGTAACCTCTATAATGCTGCCCCAATTTGCATAATCTGTTTTTAATTCTCATTCTGTGTCTGCCTAGTGTGCTGTGCTTTGACTATAAAGGCTTGATCACCACTGCCCAGTTTAGGCTTCTCCCATACTGTCCTGCTCAGCACATATTTATTCATCTATCTATCCATCTATTGAGGCAGGGTCCCTCTGTGTAGCCCTGGCTGTCCTGGAACTTGCTTTGTAGATCAGGCTGGCCTCAAACTCACAGAGATCGACCTGCCTCTCCCTCTGAAGCACTGGGACTAAAGGTGTGTGCCACCACTGCCTGGCTCCTCCTCAGTCATTAATGGCTTCCGCTTTCCTGATGACTCAGTCTCTCTTTCCTGTCTTCCTTTCAAATCCAGATCTGGCTTCTGCACACCTGGCTTCTGCACTCTGTCCCTATAATGTTCAGGCTTAGAGCCAGCTAAACTGCAACCCAGGCTGAGTCATAGCCTCCCAGCAACAATACCCGCACAGCCCATAGGTGGTTTCTGGTCCGCTAGACGTCCTCACTGAGTAGAACTTAATCTTTTTTTTTTTTTTTTTTTTTTTTTTTGTACCTCCTTTGAGTTCTTCTCAAGTGCTGTTCAGCTTTTGGGAACCAATGGTCCACATTCATTCAATGGGGCCATTCTTTCCCTCACTGCAGGGCTAGCATTTCCAAGCGGGTCTTGTGTACCCACCAAAGTCCACCGTGAACAATCCCTTCTTGGTCAACTTCCTCAGAACAGCCCAGCTTCCCTCTCAGCTCCAAATGCTCAGGTGGACGCCAGCCTGTTACCTGGACCTGGGGAAGCACTTGAGCTGGACAGTGGTCTTCCCGGGGAAGTGGATGGAGGGGGCCCAGTGGTCCTCCCAGGGAACTGGACAGTGGCTGCCCCAGTGGTCCTCACAGGCTGGCCTTGGGATGGTCCAGGGCCAGCAGGCCCCAGGCAGGGTGTGAAGGCCCGCCCTCTGGCCTGCCGAGAGGCATGCTGGGAGGCCGCACTTCCTCTCAGGGCCCTGTAGAAACCACAGGACCAGGCAGCGCCCCTGCAGCCGGCAGGATGGCTGAGGGCAAGGCAGGCGGAGCTGCTGGCCTCTTCGCCAAGCAGGTACAGAAGAAGTTCAGCAGGGCCCAGGAGAAGGTAGGCAGCCCGGTCACTGGGGGTCCCGGGCTTGGGCTGAGGAGGAAGGGTCCTGTTGCCCAGAAACTGGGCGGGGAGTGGGTGTCCATGAAAAGTGGCCGATGTGCGAGACAGGCGAGCAGCTGAGGAGGAGGCAGCTGTTCCTCAGGAGCCTTATGTGGCCCACTGCCTGACCCAGAAAAGCCGACAGGAAGGAACAGATGGCGATGGCCACCTATCTCACAGGTTTCGTCCTAGCAATAACGCAAGGAGGGTGTTTCACAGATGAACTAACTGAGAGCTTCTTGACCCCGAAGCTAGTGACAGCGGCCGTGGGTGCCAGGGAGTCCCCCGCTTCTTTTGATTTGAGAATTCACTGAGATAATCTACACAGTTGTCTTCATACCTGAGTGTCATTTAGACTGGTATAAATGGAGCCAGTAGGCAGGGGGTAGAAAATGCATGGCATCCTAGGCTATATACCGAGTTCAAGACCAGCCTGAGCTATAAAGGAATGTATGTTGAGGTGAAGAGGAGCTGTGCACGGTGGCCAGTCCCGCTCCTTACGCCCGCTTCTGCCTTGATGTGATTGAAGAGCATGTGTGTCCCTCCTTACACTGCCACCTGATAATAAACTGCCACCTATAACTCGCTTATCCATTTCAGATTATGGGGATAGCTGGGCGTGATGGCACAGACCTTTAAACCCAGCACTCCAGAGGCAGAGGCAGGCGGGTCTCTGTGTGAGTTCAGGGTTAGCCTGGTCTCCAGAGTGAGTTCAAAGCAAAATAAATGAATAAACCCCCAAAAGCAAAAAAAGTTGGGGGTCATAGGTGTGAGCCACCATTCTCAGCAGTCCAGTATTTTTTCTTCTTTTTTGAGATAGTTTCTTGTACCCCCAAACTCACAGTGACTTTGAGCTTCCAGCATTCCTGCCTCCCTTTAGCTTCTGAATGCTGGGGTTGAACCAGAGATCCTTGTGAGCAGACCAAACACTCTACGGCTCCATCCCAGGCCTTTCCCTACACATTTTAAAGGTATTTTGATTGTACCATCCAGAGTGCCTTTACTTAGCCACCACCTACCAACACCATAGTAGAAAAGGCGGTGTGGCAGAGAGGTATAAGCTGAAAGAAAAGAGTTCACTTAACAATGGAAAGATTTGTAGTTGTAGATATAGTTCTTGGTGTTAAACGGCTACAAGGCAAAGGAGGGCTCTGTATTTGTCCATCTTTCGAGGCCGTGTGAAAGACAAGAGGAAAATAAAGTTTTTGTGTGGCCAGTCTTCATTACTTCATTTGCCATAACTTTGCCTCTCTGGAGGCTGTCTAACTAGACATCTCATAGATCTGAGTACAGCGCTTGTGGGAGGGTCTAGTTATAAATAGGGGGACAGGGAGCTTACCTGGGGAAAGCTACATTATGCAAAGCAAAAAACAAAACCAAAACAACCTGATGTATTAATAGTTGGGAAATATGGCTCAGTGTTAGAAGCTCTTACCTACTGAGCAGAATCCTGGGTACCATAAAAGAGAAAGAATTTTAAATTAATGTCCACCAGATGCATCATTTGCGTTTGCCTGGCTTCCTCTGGCTTGTTGTCAACATGATACCTTTGGGCCCCTTTAAGCCTAGACCCCAAAACCTCCCATAAATAATGTTCTGTTCTTGGCTTCAAGTCTCTCATCTATAAAATGAGAAGATTGGTGTTCTCCATGAAACGCTATATACTAAGACCAAGTTGAAAATGGGAGGTGATTCTAAACTTGAGAATCAGGAATTTCCTAAGTAGAGCCAGTTGTTCAGGTAGCACACTGTTCTTCCTGTCCAGGACCCTGAGAAGATAGGGACAGAGGTACAAAGTGTGCCCTGAGGAACTCGCAAGATAGACTGCACCTGAGTTCGGGGCTGGCCCAGGCAGACACTGCACTCAAGGGAGAGATGGCCTGGATGGGAGAGCTGGAGCCCTCGAGTCCTGGGAAGTCCTTGAAAGCAAGACAGAGAGAGAATGCTCCAGTGGCCGGCCAGGTGGCTCAGCCACTAAGGGCTCTTGCTGCCAAGCCTGATGGCTCCTTGCCACCTGTGCAGCCCCAGGCACTGCAGAGCTTTTCTCTGAGGGGACTGGTTGAAGGGGACACACTTTTACATGGGCTCATGCTCCTGGGAAGAGGGGGTGGGAAGACCTGCTGAATGTTACACACGATAGAATCAGACATCCTTCTGGTTCTATTTTCCGTTTCCCACTGAGCGCAGCATTAGCCGTATTTTTACATTATGATACATCCTCACATTGAATCAGCTGCTTCTCTGTCTGTGATTTCTCTCTAGCAGACTGCTCCATTCTCCCCTGAGCAAGGACATTTAAAAAAAAAAAAAACAAAAAAACAAACAAAAAAAAAACACTCCTGTGTTGTTCTTTTCTCTGTTAACATTTATTCAACTTATATCCCCAATAGTTTACTTTGTCAAATATTTGCAATAGATTCTTTTGTTCAGGGGGCTGAGCTCCATCTAGAGGGAATTAAGAGGAAAGTTAGAGGAGCTCTTGTCTGCCGGAAGCTTAGAGTCTACTTGTTTGCCTAAGATATGCACAACTGTGGGAACTTGGAAGGCAAAAAGATTGGGTGGAAGGTTTTCTTGTTGTGGTTGAGTTTAAAATGGGAACTGTGGGTGATCAGTAGTTCCTCCGATGATAAGTGTCAGAGTGCCTTCCATCTGGGGAAGACTAGCATGGGCCTGATCCGAGCCTGCTAATCACTTTAGGCAGAGTAGTGAGAAAAGCAGCTGGAGCAGAGGGTGGTGGGAGAAAGGCCTAGAAGAATGCACAAGGGCTCTTAGAGTGTGTGTCTGCAAACTTTCCTCATATCTACATTAGAAGCATGACACCCAAGACACGGATCTGATAGCACTACACATTATCATTTAGTGTCTCATATTACCCCAACTGACAGCACTAACTAAGGGGACCAGGGTTCCTGGTGAAGGGACCATGTCATCAAGTAGGCTGTGGATTCCTAGAGGTGTATCCCTCCCTGCCATTCTACTCTATAGAAAAGTTAGAAGAATAGGTCAAGTAACCCGGAACATATTCTACCCACAGTCACGAAGCGTCTTCCTCTTGTCACATTCACTTGCTAGCCCTTACTTCTCTCTGAGTATCTGAATTCTAACTCGTCAGCTGCCTGGCTAGGCTAACTATGGCAGAATTCTCAGGGCAGGACTTTAGAGAGCTTTCATTAGGAATTGATCATAAAGTAGAATTTAGCCAGCTGTAGTGGCATATACCTGTACTCCCAGTTCTCAACAAGATGAGACTGGAGGGTCACTGTTTGTTTGAGGCTAGCCTGGGCTACAAAGTAAGACTGTCTCAAACACACAAACAGACACACATACAAATAAATGTATTCTTTCAGCAGGCATATGTCGCATATATATCTTGTTCCTTCAAGTGTCTAAGAACATCTCCAGTGCGGTATGTGACCCAACACAGACACCTGTTGCTATGAAAACAAGTGACTTCAGGCCCAGAGAGATGATAAATATTTCCAGGTTACCTCTTTCACCTTTCCATTTAAGAGTTAATGGTGGGTCTATGGCCACAACACCCTGAACATGCCCAATCCCATCTGAACTAGTAAGCTAAGCAGAGTCAGTCTTGGTTAATACTTGGATGGGAGACCACCTGAATGCCAGGTGCTGTAACCTTTTTTGGTTTGGTTTGGTTTGGTTTTTGAGACAGAGTTTCTCTGTGTAACTCTGGCTGTCCTGGAACTCTGTATAAACCAGACTGGCTTCAAATTCAGAGAGCCCCACCTGACTTTCTCCTAAATGCTGGGATTAAAAGTGTGTGTTGTAGTTTAAAAAAAAAAAAAAAAGATATAGCCTTGAGCCTTTAGTTGTCTTCTGCATTGACTATAAATTGAGTTTTCTTGTTTTCCACCCCCACCTAAGAAAGTGGGTGAAGGAAGGGAGGAGTAGCAAAAAGGAAGTAAGAACTGTGCTTACCATCAACAAGGTGGTTTTGCAACTTTCTGGGGAAGAACCATGGTGTTTGTTGTTGGGGAGGGGAAAGGGTGGAGCTAGGGAGGACGGGGACTGCACATCTAGGGAGGGGTCATGAGTAAGGTGGAGTTAAGAGACCAACAAAGACAGATGTGGCTGTAGGAAAAGGAAACACCTGCCATTTATAGGCAAGGAAACAAAACTAGACCCAGCTAAACTAGACATGGTGGCACATGCTGGAAGGAAGCAGGCAGATCTCTGTGAGTTCAGCTCTCTGAGTCTGGGGCCAGCTTAATCTACATAGAAAGTTCTAGGCCAGCCAGGGCTACATAGTGACACCTTGTCTCAAAAAATTAAAAAAAAAAAAAAAAAGCCAGTCAATAGAAAGGTCAAGGTATGAGTTACCATGTGGCTGCAGAAGTCTTGATCTTAGTCATCTCAGAGAGAGCATGTGATGTGGGAGGCATTGGCCGACTCTTCTTTCCACAAGACTGCAGACTTGGGTCAGTGTCTATACAGAGCCTTCTGCACTAGGCACATGGCTTAGTGATTCAAATTCCTTCAAAATGAGATCCCAATCAACCTATCTAATTTCATTCCCTGCCACACCCAAATGAGCCACACCCTCCCAGAAGGCTGCATGAAGTTGCACACACAGATTTGCTCATTCAGTTGTTGGTCAGGAACCCTTTCCACTCTGTGTTTATACTTTATCAGTCCAGCAAAACCCACATCCAGACCCAGCTGTGCCCTATCACTGCATCAGGTTCACCTCCTTCCTACTAAAGTGACTACACGGCCTCTTGCTGGATTCTGAGCTATAGAAAAAGGCAGAATAAGTATCCAAGGGATGGCAATTTAGAAGGAAATGGAGATGATGGATGCAAAATAATAATAATGGAAAATGATGGAGTACCAAAGTGTTAAGGATTTAGAGCTAGTGATGAACTTGATTAACAGGATAAAGCAGGTAAAGATTAGTATGAGAAAGGTATTTATTTATCTATGTTTGTTTGTTTTATGCTTGCACAGCAGACAAAATAGAGAAGTCATTAGTATATTCCAGAAAGGGAATGAAGTCTATAACAATTAATAGTGAGGCTTGTTCAGGAACCTTAAGACGAACAAACAAAAAACAATAAAATGGTTGCGTAGGAAAACTGCTGAGAGGACACGGAGCTGAAGCTTGCAGAAGGGTCAGAGTAGTAGGGACTATCTCCACACTAGAGCTACCAGTGGTGCCCAGTAGACGCATGATGAGTGTCAAATAAAAGGGGAGCCGATGAATGAAGAACTCTATCAGATGAATTGAAGCAACATCATCAAGACTTCTTGCAGCAAGCTAGGAAAATAAAACCAAACAAATGGTTAATGCCCAGCCTCAGGCTGTGCTAATGAAACCAGAAAGATTAGGATGTTTTCTGGAGGTGGCATGGTGGGGGTTGGTGAGGAGGAAGTTGAAAGCAACACTTAAGATCCTACCTTGGGTCTAGGGGATTGATGGTTCTCCTGCCAAGACGGGCTTTCATATCTATTTGGGGAGGGGGTGTGTCATGTCACCCTCAAGCTTGATGGCAGGTTCTTTACCCACTGAGCACTGCTGCACCGGCCAACCCCTCAGTCCTTTCTTACTTCTCTATAGGTGAGTGGCCCTCTGAAACCAAGGTCCTGTTTCCCATGAGCTCTGAGACTGGAGCGATGGCTGTTGCTTTCATTTCTTAGTTGAAGAAAGATAGACATGGGTACCATTCATTTCCAGCTGGGCTTGAAATATATTGTGTCAGAGTTTCTTAAGGTTTTCCACAGGGCCTTCATGAGAAGAGGCCCGTGCTCATCTCTCTAGCGTCATCCACAAAGAGCAATCAATGACAATGGCTAAAAGAGGGACTCTTATTTAAAAAAAAAATTCTACATGGCTCATGCTTTATCTTTAAAAGCCAGGTGTATTTTCTGAGTGATCTTGTTTTGGTGCAATGTCCTCTTCTATTCCCCTTTTTAAAATCGGTTTAAGAGCTGGGTGTGGCAGCACAGGCCTTGATCCCAGCACTCGGGAGACAGACAAGTGGATCTCTGAGTTTGAGGCCAGCTTGGTATACAGAGTTTCAGGCCAGTCAGGACTATACAGAGAAACCCTGTGTCAAAAAACAAACAAGCAAACAATTCATTTTATATATGGAGAGAGTAAGAGGAGATTATAAATGAGAATGAATAGGTAGATCCTCCCCCACACGACATGCCCCAGGGTGTTTCAGTTTGAGAAGAGCCACAAAGCCTTGTTTTTCTTAGCAGTGTATGACATTCCTGATTCTATTGAGCTGAGAAGGGACTGGACCTTCAATTATACCCAAGGCCAATAGATAAGAGACTTGACTATAACCATACGGGCCTTTCTGTCTTTTATCCCAGGTTCTTCAGAAATTGGGGAAAACGGTAGAAACCAAAGATGAACGATTTGAACAAAATGCCAGCAACTTCTACCAACAACAGGTAACCTGGAGGGTGGAGAAGGGACTTATGGGCCTAAAGATTCCACCAGGCAGGCATCTTATCAACTGCTGCTTATCCTTTTCTCTGAGAAGCCATGGAACTTGCCCTTCCTGTTGCTGTTGCCCTGCTTAGTTCACAAGGGTTGTTGGCGCGAACATCTCATGGCAGTGCAGTTCTGACACTATTGAGTATCAAGTCAAATGTCATAGGCAGGAGACTGCTGGGCCCACACCAGACACCAGCAACCATTTGCAGCCCCCTGTCCCATTTATTTCCCTGTAAAACATATATTCATGACTACAGATCAGAAAGTATATTCAGAAAAAAGAAAAGGGAACAGGAATGGTCACTTATGCTTATAATCTCAGCACTGGGAAGACTGAAGCAGGAAGGTCACAGTTCAAGACCAACCTCAGATACAAAACAAAACAAACAACAAACAAAAAAGCCCAAAACAAAAAACAAAAGTAAAGTTGGAGAGATTAATCCCTGGATCCCACAAGGTGGAGGCAGGGAACTGATTCCTACAAACTGTCCTTTGATCTCCATGTATTCCTTGGCTCTAGCCTGCCCACATGTACACACACACACACACACACACACACACACACACGCACACGCACACACACACGCACGCACGCACACGCGCACACGCACACGCGCACACACGCGCACACGCACACGCGCACACACGCGCACACGCACACGCGCACACACGCGCACACACGCACACGCGCACGCACGCGCACACGCGCACACGCGCACACACATAAAATAAAAAGAAAAACAGAAAATGTTTTTTAAAACAATTACAATTCTGTAGGTTATATCCATTCTTGTTTCATATACTACAATTGTTGTGATATCTAGTATATACAACTTAAATATATCTATTATAATTAAGTGTGAAGTTTCTAAAATGATTATTTCAGAGTTGTTTCTTCCTGGGGTTGGATTATAACAAAATTTTCTCAATTATTTGACTCTGGTTGGCCTGGAAATGATTGTGTATCCCAGGCTGGATGCTGGAAATGGAACCCATTCCTCTGGAAGAGCATCCAGTGCTCTTCCCCCTGAGCATCCCTCCAGCCCCGACTTCTGAAGCTTGTTTGTTGAGAGCACAGCTTGTCCACAGTCAGCTGTTTTGTTGGTGTTTTGTTTCATTTTGTTTTTTGAGACAGGGTCTCTCTCCCATAGCCTAGGCTGTCCTAGAACTCACTTTGTAGATCAGGCTGGCCTCCTCTGCCTCCTGAGTGCTGGGATTAAAGGCATGGCCACATGTTGAATGTGTTCTGTGGTCTGTGTTTTCTGTAGATGTATAGATACATGTAGAAGCTTGATTAGACTTAGGTTTTAATTTTTGTTTGGTGGCAGTAATATTCATAGGCATCATTAGATTCTACCATCAGGAGTCACATCATGCCTTCTTGTATCCTTCTACATGGGATATGAATAGCTATGAATCATAGCTGGCAAAGGAATCAGCTCTTTATTTTCAACACTTGAACTTATTCTCTGACAGTCACACTCATGCATATACTGTATTTTGATTATCTCATTCCCCCATCCAACTGCACTCCATGTCAGCTGTCACTTCCATCCACCCAGCTCCTCTAACATCTCAACACTTGCCTGGGTTATGGAGTGATATCCATTGTTTTGTTTTGAGACAGTACCTCGAGAAGCCCATGCTGGCCTTGAACTCAGGGTACAGCTGAGGATAGTCTTGAACTTGTGATCCTCATGCTTCCACCTCCCAGCTTCTGGGATTATATGTGTGAACCACCACAGTCTGTTAACCTGCTGCTGGGGTGAAACCCTGGGCTGTGTGCTCACGAGGCATGCACACTCCATCACATGCCCTGTATAAGTATTGTTTCTGTGAGGCTCTCCTTGCCTCCTCCTGACCTCTCTTCACAACACAGGAAGAGGTGTTTTCCTCAGGAAGCACCACAGCAGTCTTTTGCTTGTGGTACCCTCAGCACTTGCTCAAGATTTGGTTGTACCGTTTCTTTTGGTGTTCTGCTGAGTGGCTGGGAGCCCCCAACCAGGACCTTCCTTTCTTCCTCAGTCCCCCATCTGTTGGGACCCATTTCTGCATAGCTGACTGCTTTGGCCAAGCTTCCACAGACAGTGAGCAGTTTGTTTTCTGAGAGTGGGGGCTGTTTGTATATGGGGTGGAAAGGCCTAACTCAGGATCGATACAGCAATGCCAAGAAATTGGCAAAGTTTCAGAGGGCAAAAGTGATGAGATCAGCAGATCTGGAGATAGAAGTGGCTTAACCCTGCACTTACAGACAGGGAAGTGGAGCCGGGGGAGCGGAGTAACCTGTTAGTTGAGAACAGAGCCAGCACACCAGACAACCTGCCAAGCAAGAGCCAGGCTTCAGGAAAACAGGTGCTGGGTTAACCAGCCTGGACATTTCAGGGGAGGATGGACAAGCCCTCATCCACCACCATTACCACTGCCTGTCTGCTCCCATACGTTAGCTCTCCAAAAGAAAGAACGAAGGGGTAAAGAAAGAATGGTAGGTAGGGCTGGAGAGATGGCTCAGTGGTTAAGAGTATGTGCTGCCCTTGTAGAGCACCCAGCTTCCATTCCCAAAACTCATGCCAGGCAGCTCACAACAGCCCTGACAAGACCGGCTGGTGAGTTCCTGGGGAGGACAGAAAGGGTGCTGGAGCCCTGGAGCTGGGGTAAAAGGAAACTGAGCTGCCTGCACTGGGAGCTGTGAACAGAATGCGGGTCCTCTGGAAGAACAATGCAGGCTGTTTACCTAACCACTGAGCCATCTGGTCAGCCCAGATGGACATTTCTTATCATTGCCATTGTTCTGAAATTAAGTTTTCATGATGAAGTGAAAAGAAGTCCGTATTGTTTTCTTTCAAACAGAATGTTAACTCTTCATTAAAAGTTTTTTGTTTGTTTGTTTTTTGAGGCAAGGTTTCTCTGTAGCCATGGCTATCCTGGAACTCACTCTGTAGATCAGGCTATCTCAAACTCACAGAGAGCACCTATCCCTGCCTCCCAAGTGCTAGAGTTAAAGGCATGTACCACCACTGCCTGGCAGATTTTAATTTTATTATTATTATTTTTGTTTTTTTCATAAAAAATTGTATTTACTTAGAAGTATTCAGAATGTCAACAAAACAGCTGCAGTTTTTTTCAATTAGAATGATATTCAGTTAACAACAATTATCTTCATATAAGCTGCATCAAAGACAACTGAAGATGATAAAAAACAAAACAAACAAACAAAAAAAAAACAAAATGAAATAACTACCATCCCCATATATAACTAATTTGTGCTGTGCACCAACAAGAACCTGCTTTAAATTTCCATGCCATTTACAACCCCCAGACTGTACCAGGCAAAGTTAGTGGCTATTGAAAATACCACCAGGACAGGGCTATCTAAAGACACATTCGGTAGTGTGTCTTTACTATACAAAAAAAGACACTGTACAGTTTAAAAACAAATCTTACACAGCCTTACATTTCAATTTTTTTTTCTTTAAAAGAAGTGAGTTGTATACAGGGGGTTAAGTGCTTTTAAACAAACAAAACAAAAACTGCACTAGAACCAACTTACTCATCATCACCATCTTTTCCATCTTCATCTCCCCCTCTTCCTCATCCTCTTCATCCTCCTCCTCATCTTCCTCTTCCTTCTTTTTCTCTGCATCGGGTTTCCCTTTAGCTCTGTAAGCAGCAATATCCTTTCCGTACTTCTTCAGCTTGGCAGCCTTCTTTTCGTAGGGCTGCTTGTCATCTGCGGCAGTGTGTTCCACAGCTCTCCCAGTGTCTTTGCAACATCACCAATGGACAAGCCTGGGTGTGCTCCTTTGATGTTTGGGTGATACTCAGAACAGAACAAGAAGAAGTCTGAAGGAGGCCTCTTGGGTGCATTGGGGTCCTTGAACTTCATTTTTGTCTCCCCTTTGTGGGAGATGTAGGTTTTCATTTCTCTTTCATAACGAGCCTTGTCCGCCTTTGCCATGTCTTCAAATTTCCCCTTTTCTTTAGCAGACATGGTCTTCCACCTTTCTGAGCATTTTTCGAAGAACTCTGAGAAGTTGACAGAAGCATCTGGGTGCTTCTTCTTGTGTTCCTCCCAGCAAGTCTGCACAAAGAATGCATATGAGGACATTTTGCCTCTCGGCTTCTTAGGATTTCTTTTTGCCCATGTTTAGTTGATTTTTGTCCTCGAGGCACAGAGTCACCCAGTGCCTGTCCAGCTCACTTTTGTCCTGGTGCTTGCTCTCTGTCTCTGTCTCTGTTTCTGTCTCTCTCTCATTGTTTTTCGAGACAGGGTTTCTCTGTATTGCTTTGGAGCCTGTCCTGGAACTTGCTCTGTAGACCAGGCTGGCCTTGAACTCACAGAGACCTGCCTGCCTCTGCCTCCCTAGAGCTGGGACTAAAGGTGTGTGCCACCAATGCCCAGCTGAGATTTTTATTTTATTTATGTGTATGAATGTGTGTCTGTGAGCATGCATATGCATGTTCAGGTGTCCAGGGGAAGGTGTTGGATCCCTGGAGGCGGAGTTACAGATGGGTACTGGGAATTGAACTCTGGCCCTCTGCAAAAGCAGCAACTGATCTTAAATGTTGAGCTATCTCAAGCCCTTTTATTAATTTTTGTAACTTCAAAAACTCATCCCAAGCCCTTAAAATCTTGGTTATTAAGCTGGCAGGATAGCTCTGAGGGGAAAAGGCACTTGCTGACAATTTTGATTATGTAAATTCAGTCACCAAAACCCACATGGCAGAGAGAACCAACCTCTGCCATTGTCCTCTGACCTCTATAAGTTATTAGGTAGAATTTTCTTTTTTTTTTCCCTTTATTTTTTAATTAAAAGTTCACTAGCCTTTCTAGTAATGAACAAGTTCACAGCAAGTACTTCCTGTGTTCTGCATAAAATCTTTTAGATTTCAAATGCTCTGTTCCCTGAGCTGATTCGTTCTGATCCACAAGTTGGCCTGCAGCACACCTTTGAAGTGGGCCACACCTCAGTTCTCTCCCACACTCCTGAAGTCAGGCTTCAAATGTCAACCATTCTGCCTTTCACCTCCCCTCCACCCCAACCCTAGAAACTGGAGTTTACCCATACAGGAGAGAAGAGAGTGAGGGGAGGGCAATATCCAGAACCACATTTTTAAAAAACTCTGGACGTAGTACCACACATCTATAATCTCAGCACTTTTTTTGTTTTGGTTTGGTTTCTCTGTGTAGCCCTGGCTATCCTAGAACTCCCTCTGTAGACCAGGTTGACCTCAAACTCAGAGGCCCCTCCTGCCTCTGCCTCCCAAGTGCTGGGGTTAAAGACCTGTGCCACCACCGCCCATCTAATCCCAACACTCTTAAGGTGAAGTGAGAGGTGGAGATGGGAGAATCAGCCAAATGCTAGCCTGAGTGTAGTGGAGCAGAAACAGTAAAAGAGGCCTCGCCTCAACAAAATGGAAGGTGAGAACTAATCCCCAAAGTTATTCTCTGATCTCCATACATGTGGCATGTGTGCCCACACTCACATACACTTCACATAGACACATACATAACAATAAATAAATTTTAAATTTTTCCTGAGCCTGGAGAAATGGCTCAGCAGTTAGGAACACTTGCTATTCTTGCAGAGGACTAGGTTTGAATCTCAACACCCACATGGCCACTCATAACTGTTTAAAACACCAGTACCAAGGACTCCAACTCCATCTTCTGGACATAGGCAGTATACCTACACATCGGCAATCAGGACACTAATATGAATATGAAACATTTTAAAGGTTTCCTGTACAGATACAGAAAGGCGGCATCTATTCAAGAGTATTTAGTATGAAGAAGCACTATCTAGGTCAGGGGCTTGAGTTTCTGTTTTCTGGAGGTACTTAAGAAGCAGAGACTAAGCCTAGAGAGATGGCTCAGTGGTTAAGAACATCTACCGCTCTTTTAGAAGACCTGAATTCAGTTCTCAGCATCCACACCTGGTGGCTCACAATTTCCTGTAGCTCTAGCCCCAGGCAGACCTGACACCTCTCCTCTCTCTGACCTTGCAATCAAGTCTGCATAGAGTGACAGACAGACTGCTAAAAAAGACTAAAAATGATTCGAGGAGGAGGAGAAGAAGAGGAAGAGGAGAATATCTACCATTTAGGAAGCTGAGGCAGGAACATAGTCATAAGTTCAAGGCAGCCTGGACTAAGGAACAATTTTGTCATTAAACAGTGACAAGGCAAAGGCTAGAAACAGATGTCAGAACTGCAGGCTATTTGTCAGGCTGAGATCTAATTCTGGCTCCCTTTCTTTCTTTTTAAGAAAGAGACAGAGATGAGAGAGAGAGAGAGAGAGAGAGAGAGAGAGAGAGAGAGAGAGAGAGAGAGAGAGAGAGAATTCAGACATAAGAGCAAAGGTAGAAGCCAGGATGAACGTAATAGAAGTAGCAGATGTGCTCCTTGGAGTAGGAGCAGGTGACTAGGGGGAGGGCGGAGTGAAGCAAGTGAAGGAAGACTACCTGGGAGGCAGGAAATTTCTGTGTGAAAGTTCAGAGAGGAAAAGGGCCTGTTGTGCCGATGGCAGGGAGGATCGCACAGACAGCTCCATAAGGGGCCCTCATTCCAGGACTTGGGTATGGGCTCTGGTGCACTGGAAGAGAGAAAAAGCAGATGGCAGAGATACGCAGTGGGGGCTTCCACTATCCCAACTCACACATTGACCCCAAAGAGACAACTGCAGCTTGTTGGCAGAGTGACAGCAGCTCTGGTGACTGGAAATTCCTGCAGAATTCCAGACATGAGTTCTGTCTTTACTGTACTTTCCAAGGCCGACCTCTGGAGCGCCTTCCAAAAAGATCTTGTTAGTCACCAAAGTTGCTCTTTGCTTCCAGGCAGAAGGCCACAAGCTATACAAGGACCTGAAGAACTTTCTTAGTGCAGTCAAAGGTGAGTACCCAGCTTGGGAGGATGCAGGGGCTGGGCACGCTGAGGTAGGCAGAACAGCCTGACCCAGGGTCCTCAGTGCTCAGCTGGCCTGGACCACTTAGACTCCTTAGGTCCGCGAGTGACTTCCTGTCCCAGCCCCACAGAGCTTCTCGTACTGTGAATCCATCTTTCTGACTTGTCACTGTGTGATGACATCATCTGCTTTTTGAGACACTTTGTGGTAGGACTGAGTTCTCTCCTTTCAGTGATGCATGAAAGTTCAAAGAGAGTGTCAGAGACCCTGCAGGAGGTCTACAGCAGTGACTGGGATGGACATGAGGAGCTGAAGGCCATCGTGGGGGTAAGGCAGCTCAAGCATGACACTGCCTTGGGATGCATTCCCATCTCCCCTCAGCTAAGCTTCTGTATCCTGGAAAACAGGGAAACGGGCTGGTTCACTCTGTTACAGAGCCTCCATCTCTAAGCAACAGGATGACAGCTTGTTCCCTCCCACAGGTCACAGAAATATCCCCTCTGTGAAGGTCACAGAAATGTCCCCTCCTTGAAGACAGGTTGTTTATGAAAAACAACTGCATGAAGTTAACTGTTCACTCGCCCCCATGCACACTAAGCTTGGTGCCAGGGGCCCTGTGTTCCTGTTCTTTACCCCCCCCCCGCCACTCCCAAATGCAGTTGCTTAGGTGGAGCGCATCTCTCTTCTTGAGAATCTGCTGTGATATTCTAATGATGGTGCTACATAAGAGTTCTGTGCAGGGAGAGTCTGGGTGCTTCTCTGGTGGACAGTTGTAGAAATAGGACACTCACCACCCTCTGCCTGAATCCCACAGAACAATGATCTCCTTTGGGAAGACTATGAAGAGAAACTGGCTGACCAGGCTTTGAGGACCATGGAAAACTATGTGGCCCAGTTCAGCGAGGTGAAGGTAACTCAGTCTGTTGAGTGGGGCAGGTTAGAGACAGTCCTCACTAGTTAGAAAACACATCGGGTTTACATTATAAGAAGCACTTGAGCCTGTGGTGAGACATGGGCTGGGAGAGGGTTAGGATGACAGAGATGCTGTAAGGTTGTGTTTACACTTGGATGTCAGTGAATTACACTTAGGACTCAACTGAAAAGTGAACCAGATCCAACTAGGTCAAGGCATCCATCTCTTTTTTTAACCTTGAGATTTATTGTTATTACATTCAGTTATGTGTGTGAGTGTCTGAGTGGGGCGTGTGCACATGGGTACAGTGCCCTGGAGGTCAAAGATACTGGATCTCTGGAGCCAGAGGTACAGGTGGGTGGTTGTGAGTACCTGATGTGGGTGCTGGGAACTGAACTTGGTCCTCTGGAAGAGAATTCCCTTCTAACTGCTGAACCATCTCTCTAGCCCCAAATCATCTATTTCTTTTATTTTCTTTAAATGGTGTATTGCTATGTAGTCCAGGATAGCCTATACCTTGCCATCCTCCTGCCTCAGCCTTCTGAGGTCTCAGATTATAGGTGTGTGTCACTATGCCAGCTAGGCATACCTTTTAGGTGTAAGAAACAGCTAATGAAGCTAAAGATGTCTGTAGTATAGAAGAAAATTAGAGGCATCTTAATATTATCTTCAAATACTTGAAAATCTGTCAGGTGCAAAGAACTCAGTCCATTCCAAAGTGTTCTATAAAGCAGAATTAAAATTAAAAAATTAATTACTTAAAAATATATGCTGGGCAATGGTTGTGCATGCCTTTAATCCTAGTACTTGGGAGGCAGAGGCAGGCAGATCTCTGTGAGTTCCAGGCCAGTTCTGGGGACCAGTTTTTGCTCTTAACTTCTGAGCCATCTCTTCAGCTGCTCTAAAAAATTTACTACATTCATTTATTTGCTCTGTGTGTGTGTGTGTGTGTGTGTGTGTGTGTGTGTGTGTGTGTACAACAGCACAACAGGGTAGGTCAGAGGACAGCTTTGAGAGTCAGCTCTCTCATCTACCACATTGTCTTAGAGATGTGACTCAGGCTGTCAGGGTTGGAGGCCAGCACCTGTAGGTAGTGACATATCTCCCTGGCTTCAGAAGTAGTATTTTTTTATTTATTGCACTAAGCTTATTAATCATCCACTCTGCTGGCACTGTGCTGCTTGTAGATTAAGAGGAAGCTGGCATAAGCTTCCAAATTGATGTTAATGATTAAGCTTAACTTTTAAGCTTAAGCTTTTTAAAAAAGATGAAATACACTCTGAGATAGTTTTCAGTTCTGTGTACAAGAAGTTGAATTATATCAGTGGTTTTCTTGTTTGTTTGTTTGTTTGTTTGTTTGTTTGTTTGAGACAGAGTCTTACTGTGTAGCTGTCTTAGGATTACTCTAACTATGATGAGCATCATGACTAAAAGCAACTTGGGAAGGAAAGGATTACACTTTCACATCACAGTTCATCATCCAAAGAATTCAGGACAGGAACTCAAGAAGGGCAGGAGTTGATGCACAGGCTATAGAGGGAGCTGCTTACTGAATTGCTCCTCATGGCTTGCTCAGCCTGCTTTCTTGTAGAATTTAGGACCCACAATAGACTGGGTCCTTCTCCACTCCATGAATCATTAATTGAGAAAATGCCCTACAGCCAGATCTTATGGAGGCATTTTCTCAGTTAAGGCTCCTCATTTCAGATGATGCTAGCTAGGGTCAAGTTGACCTAAAAGTAGCCAGCAGAGTAGCCCAGACTAGCATTGAACTCACAGAGATCTACTTGCTTCTGCTTCCCACGTGCTGGAATTAAAGTTACGCAATACCACACCTAGCTTCCTCCTTCTTTTCTAAAGATTCATTTACTTATTTTATTTTGTGACATGAGTGCAGGTGCCTAAACACTAGAAAAAGTTGTCAAATGTCCTAGAACTGGAGCTAGAGGTGGTTATAAGCCATCTGATGTGGGGGCTAGGAACTGAACACAGGTCCTCTGCAAGTGCAGCCAGGGAGTGCTCTTAGCAGCTGAGCCATCTCTCTAGACCCTTGAGTTACTTCTCACCTTGGACATCGCAGAGGCACATCATGCAACCCCATATTGAAACAGGCGAGGAAGCTATAGAACATCACAGATCTCTTCAAATTCTGACAAATGAGCTGGGCTGCTCCCCCAACACAGCTTTCCGTTTCAATGAGATTGCATAAATTATTTATAACACTATTTATAACAATTTATGATTTCTGTGTGCTTAGACCTCTTAGAGTGCTTTATGTTCAACATCTAGTCTTTAAAGAAATGTTTGTGTAGGGTTGATGAGGCTACCAAGGTTCAAAAAGAGATGTCCCCTACCCTAGGCCACAAGGCTAGTAAGTGGTACATAGAGAACTAAAACCCAGAATCCTGACTTTTAGTTAGTGGGATTCTCACGATTGTTTCTTCTGAAAGCTAGACCAGTTTATAACAGGCTTGTAGAAAATTTTACATCTTAATACAGATTTCTTAGCCAGGCAGTGGTGGCACATGCCTTTAGTCCCAGCACTCAGAAGGCAGAGACAGTTGGATCTCTGTGAGTTTGAGGCCAGCCTGGTCTACAGAGTGACTTCCAGGACAGGCTCCAAAGCTACACAGAGAAATCCTGTTTCAAAAAACAAACAAAACAAAATTCATTTAAAATTAAAAACAAAACAAAACAAGAAAATCTTAATACATATTTCTCTACCTGAGAATCCCCGTTTTCCTGACATCACGAGGGACCCCGGTTACACAGTTCAGTGGTAAAGTCCAAGAATCTAGGTTATTTGCTTGGTACTCTATTACACATCCTGGCCACTGGAAAGTGAGTTGCATCCATACCCTTTCTCATCACCCTGGGCTAGGAGAGAATTGCGAAGCGGGGCCGGAAACTGGTAGACTATGATAGTGCCCGACACCACCTGGAGGCCGTGCAGAATGCTAAGAAGAAAGATGAAGCTAAGACTGCCAAGGTAAAAACAGACAAAACTCCTGCCACCCTGGGGGATGTAGGATGGGTGCAGTGGTGACAGATCCCTGTGTCCTGAAACATTTGTTTCCGTTTGCCGTGTTACCATGAGGGCAGTCAGAGTGCTAAGGCTGAGGAAGACTCGGGTCTGGGCTGGGAGAGGAGAGGTGGTGAGGGTGACAAAGGCAGCCTCTCCCCCTTGTTCTGTCAATCAGGCAGAAGAAGAGTTCAGCAAAGCCCAGGGTGTGTTTGAAGATCTGAACCAGGAACTGCTGGAGGAGCTGCCTGTTCTCTTTAACAGGTAATGACTGGTTTCAGGACGGGCTGCTGCTTAGGCCAGTGGAGCACAAAGCCACCTGCAATCCAAGTTTGGCACCTCATGGGAAGAGCCCTGTGCGAGGGTGGGACATGGATGTAGCTTCAGCCCTGCCACTAATTGGCTGTGTGATTAGGCAAGCATCCTTATCTCTCTAGACCTGTGACACAGATAACCATCCTTGCTGCACCAGCTTTTCTGGGTTTGAGAACAAGGTAATTTGTTGGGTAGGAGAGATCTTGTCTAGTAAAGTGCTTTGTCATCCAAATTTCATTGCACAATTGTGTGTTGTTTTAAACCACCATGGTTCACAGGCATTCAGATTCATATAGACCCTGGGAAGGTGATCCGCACTAATAAAAGTGCCAATGCTTCATGGTACACAGGTATTTTAGATTTAAAACTTCCATTGTGGGAAAGAAATGGGCTGAAGCTTCACTTGTATCTTATTGTCATTACACTAAGTACATGTTCGTAAGATTGCAGCAGGACTATTGTATTGCTTAGTTTGTCTATAGCCTTTCTTAAGTCAAGGTCTAGATATGTAGCCCAGGCTGGCCTTAGACTTTTAATCCTCCCTTCTGGACTTTCCAAGGGCCAGGATTATAGGCGTGGCCACTATGCTAAGATGTTAGCATACAGTTTTTTTTTATTTACTGCATTTATGTGACTTCAAGACAGGGTTTCTCTATATAACAGCCCTGGCTGTCCTAGAACTCACTTTTTAGAGCAGGCTGGCCTCAAACTCACAGAGATCCTCTTGTCTCTGCCTCCCAAGTGCTGGGAGTAAAGGTATGTGCCATCATACCTCACATGACTCCGAATCTAAACAGAGCAGAAACAAATAGTTCCCTTATTAGTGTTATGGGGAGCCCACCAGAGAGGACCACTCAGTTTAGCCAGTTGAAAGCCTTTTTTCCAGCCAGCTGGGGCCACACCAGGTATTTGGGGACCAAAGTGTGGCCCTGAGTGTCCAGAATATAAAGGTAGAAACTGTGTTCTGGCGTCTTGCTCAGCAGGTGCCAGGGCTGGAGGTTCACAGAAGCTATAGTTTAATAGAAACAGTTAGCTGGAGGAGTTTCCACACAAACAGGCTAAAGTAAGTTAGCTAGGACATCGTGACCTTGGGTCCCAGACTAGAGTTGGGTAATTTTCCATGGGATTCTCCATCAAGGTGATAGGATTCTAGTTAAACCTGAAATGGCCTCAGCCAAAAAACAGGTTCATTTATAGGGGAATTCTGTTGCGATATACACACATAGAATTCATGTTTTGCTGAAAGAAAAATAATGGTTCCTTATTATAATTATACAGCCTTATATTTTTTCAGCTCTTAAAAATTCTGCAATATATTAACAATTCAGAGGCCCAAAACAGGTAGCATTTAAAAAAAAAACAAAAAACAAAAAGCAAAACAGGGTCTCACTCTGTAGCCCTGGCTGTCATGGAACTCACTCTGTAGATCAGGCTGATCTTGAACTCAGAAATATCCACCTGCTGCTGCCTCCCAAGCGCTGGCATGTCCCACCACATCCAGCCAGGTAATTTCTATGCCAGCCTGTGCTAATATTGTCTCCCCTCACTTTTCCATACTCCTGGCCCATCTGCCATGAGTCACATTCCAGATCATCTGTATCCAGGATGACAGATGCCTGTCTCTGGAGAGCCTTGTTGTTGGCTAGCTGGGCCCCTTGCCACTCTGACCCATGCTTATTTGTTTCCCTGTAGTCGTATCGGCTGTTATGTGACTGTCTTCCAAAACATTTCTAACTTGAGAGATGTGTTCTACAGAGAGATGAGCAAGGTGAGAGACACCTCAGTGGGATTCTCAGTGGGATCCATGTTGGGTCTTGTTTACACACTGTCTTTAGACAGTCATGCTGGGAGCACAGAGTTGGCTTTTATCACCCCATAAAGTGATTTGCTGAATGCTATGAAAATGCACATCTGTGCACACTATCAGAGTGTCTGCTCCATCTCCCTTAACTGGCTGAACCTGAGCTCCAGCATGAGTAAGGAAAGGTTAGACCCATGTAAGAGAATTGACCCGAGAGCAGAGCAGTGAAGCCTGAGGTGCTGCTAAGAGGGGGAGGAGTGGTGTTCAAGCACAGGCCATTCTTTCAGGTGGATGCTCTAGAGGAGGACCAGTGTCCATGACAGGCAGCCATGAACATGACCTTGTGAGATCTTTTCTGCTGTGAAATTACAGGATTCTCTACTGTTTCACATTATATTCACAGATAGCCACAGGATCCTTCCCACAGTTCACTGCTAACTTAGGACTTGTTTTATTCCTTACATCACCTGAGATAAATGACAACCTCAAGTCAAAACATCCCCTACCCCCTCCACCCCCTCAGGCCCCATCCCCCCACCCCCACCTTGAGAAAGACCCTGCCTTGAGAAAGCTGCCTTTGCTGCCCTTGGGGCACAATGGACCAAGAAGGAAGGGAGTAGGGTGAGGCCAGATCCTGGCAGAGCTGGAGAGACGAGGGTGGAGGTACAAGGACCAGGAGGTTTTGATTGGGAAAATTGACTGGGGAGGGAATGGCCATGGACTCCCATTTGTCAGCATCTCTGCTTTCTTCCTGGCTCTAGCTGAACCACAATCTCTACGAAGTGATGAGCAAACTGGAGAAGCAGCATTCCAACAAAGTCTTTGTGGTGAAGGGACTATCAAGGTGAGCTGATGAGACACTGCTTGCCTTGTGCCCTGTGGGGCAGCCTTCACAGCTTCATCCCTACCACACGACAGGCCCTGCCTTTTTTGCTCCTGGTCATTGCTGTTTACTCTGTGCCTCCATGGAAATGGTTTTTCTTTTCATCAGATATTTCAGGTATAACTAAAAATGAAAAAAAAATTAATCATATACCTACCACCAAACTTAGGCAACCAGCTGTTGTAACCAGGCACAGTGGCACACTCCTGGCTCTTGGGAGCCAAAGACAAGATTGTCATAAATTTGAGACCATCCAGGCCACCTAGTGATAGTTTCAGGCTAGTCTGTGCTACAAAGTGAGACCTTGTTATAGGGAATAGGGGGTAGAAAGAGGAGGACTACTGTAAACATAACTGAGTCATCCAGTGCCCTTTCCTCACTCACTCGCTTCCCACCTCCACCCAAGGTGACCACTGTCTTAAATGCTGTTTCGGTGTGCAGGTCTTCATATATATATTCACATATGAGATATTTGCATATTTTCAATTTTCATTGCATTCATTTATATGGTGTATGTGTGTGTGTGTGTGTGTGAGAGAGAGAGAGAGAGAGAGAGAGAGAGAGAGAGAGAGAGAGAGAGAGAGAGAGAACAAATAAATACCACAGAGGTACATGTAGAAGTCAGAGGACAACTTTTAGAAGTTGGTTCTCTTTCTACCCTGTGAGACTAGGGATTAAGCTCAGGTCATCAGGCTTGACAGTAGGAACCTTTATCCTCAGAGTCATCTTGCTAGCCCTCATTTTAAAACTTTATATTAGTTGACTTACTCTGTCTATATTGTCTGCAGATTTTTGAAATGGGAGTCTCACTAGTTGCTCAGGGTAGTCTTTCCTCTTCACTGGGCCTTTTAGTTACTACTGCAGTGCAACTTCTTTTGTGTCCCTGGTGTTCTTTGACATATTCTTTGTGGTTCCAGATTGCTAGCTCTCCTGAATGGTTTTTAGTGCTGCAGGAGAGCTCAGGGTTCCTGCTCTGTGACACCCTTGCTGATCCTTTCCTGCTTTTCAGCTATTTAAGCCTCTCTGAAAAAGTGACTTTCCTCAGTTTTGTGTTGGTATACTCTGGATTCCAACCCTGTAATTACACACATTGTAAATATCTTTCTGCCTGTTTTGACTCCCTCTGCCACTGTTGTATGCTATGTCTTTTCTCTTCATGGGTTCTTCATACTGGTAAGTGTCCCTCAGCACATGATCGCTCCCACTGAAGGCTTTAAGTTGCATTCAGCTCCTTCTGTGACAAGGTTTAATACTGGCCTTCCCTGGTATGTTTACTGTTGGGTGTTTGGGATCCAATGGCTTAGGAGTCCTGGCCTTCCCTGGTGTGTTTTACAGGATGGTGGTTGTACAGAAGCCGGTCTCTGTAGGTACTGCTGACTGGGTAATGAGCCACTAGGAATTCAGCAAAGTAATGGCCTGCATGCAGATCTTGGCAAAAGGCTTCAAGGTGGTAGTAAGGATGGCCTTGTGACCAGAGGAAGAGTGGGGCTTATATTTAGTGAGGAGTATAGACTTAAAAAACAATTAATAATGGGTCAATGTAGACTCCTTTGTAGACATCTTTCCCTTTGTTACAAAATCTCCATTTTTCTTTTCTCTAGCACTGAAAGCCAGAGTTTTCTGTCCATTCTCCCCAACTTTGTTGTCAATTCAACATCCCAGGATGCTGAAGAGATAACAGCTCTTGTTTTGAGCCTTCTAAACTTACTGACATGAGAAAAAAAAGTCTTAGGTCACTCAGAGCATCTCCCATCAGGACAGGACAGGAACCAAGTGTCTCTCCTCCTCCCACCCTCAAGCCCTGGATACAGAAAGGTGGAGCAGGCCAAACTACATGTTTTTGGGGTGTCTTGATCAAGTCACTTTTTCTTTTCATACTTGTATAAAACTGAGATGGTGGTACAGATGAAATTCTGTGGTACCTTTTACTTCATTTTTCATGAGCTTCACTGACACTTGTGCCAACTTTCTAACACTGCCTTAAACGGCATCCTTCTGTGTGGGTGATAAATACTGTGGTCATTTAGGTGGCAGCTGTCCTGTGACCCTTCTGAGTCTGAATGTCCTTCCTTCCACAGCAGCAACAGGCGCTCCATAGTCATCTCTCCCCCAGTTCGAACCTCAACAGCCTCCAGCCCTGTGACCTCACCTACCAGCCCCACAGCTCTCTCTGTGACCAGTGAGAGTGAGTCTGTCTCAGCGACCAGAGAAAAGCTGACCTCTGACACCGCAGATGGAGAGGATAGCAGTGACAGCAAGGAGTCCTTAAGAGATGAGGAAGTTGAGGAAGACCACTCTGAAGCAAGTTCTTCAGAGGAAGAAGAGCCTCTACTAGCCTGCAATGGCCCCATCCAGGCCCCACCCTCTCCTGCATCCCAGGAGGAAGCTGCCCTGTGCTCCCCAGCTCCATTCCTGGGCAGAGGTCAGTCGCCAACAGAGCATCCTTCCCCATCGGAAGTAGTCCTCCGCACGCGCACCTCGAGTGAAGGAAGCAAGCAGACCAAAAAGGAAGCCTCTATCCAGAGGGCATCCGCACCCCCTAGTCGGCCTCCACCACCCAAAGCCCCTCCAAGCCCCAGGCTTGCCTCAGGCAGTGGGCCCTCTGGCCCTCCAACCTCTGGAGAGGGTTCACCCCGCAGCCCCAGGGCCTCCTTAGAAGCCTCTTCCAACCTAGAAGCACCCAAGAAGCCACTGAGAGCCCCTGAGGCCTCAGAAAAGGAAAGCGCTGGCAGCCCAGGCCCAGAAGAGCCATGCATCTCCTCCACTGTGAGTACCATCCAGGCAAGTGAGCCTCTGGTTGGGCCTTTTTCTGTTTTATTTGGTTTGGTTTCTTAATTTTTATTTTATTTTTTGGAAACAGGATCTCTCTGTAGTTCTGATGTCCTGGAACTTGCTCTTTAGACCAGGATGGCCTTGAACTCAGAGATCTGCCTGCCTCCCCTCCAGAGTACTGGGATTGAACACTTGCACCACTGAGCCCAGCTTTAATAAAAATATTTTAGTATTGACTAATTATGGGAGTAAAGAAAGAGAGACACTCAGCAGACAGTTAAGAATGCCCCAAAACACAGAGGCTGCTTTTGTTTGTTTTATGTTTTGTTTTTTTATAATTTTTTATTTACTTTTATTTTATGTGCATATATGTGTTTTGTCTGCATATATGTCTGTGTGAAGGTGTCAGATCTTGGAATCACAGGCTCTTGTAAGCTGCCATATGGTTGCTAGGAATAGAACCTGGTCCTCTGGAAGAGCAACCAGTGCTCTTGACTGCTGATTCCAGCCCTATGTGTTTTGTTTTCTTAAGACAGAGACTCACTACATAGCCCTGGCACTCTGGAGCTAGAACACTGGAGCTCACTATGTAGAACAGGCAGGCTGCAAATGGCCAAGGTCCCTGCCTCTGCTTCCCGAGCACTACTGTATAGTGTCCACCACCGTGTCCACCACCACACCTGGTTTCTGTTGGGACTTTGTCCCTTTGCTCTAGTCAGAATGCTCCACAGCCAAGAAAAGTCGGGATTTCGGGGTCTCCATGTTTCTCCTAGACAGGCTGGGGATACAGGTCAGTCTGTAGAGCATCCAAGTGCTTGTCTGGTGTGCACAGGTGTTGGATGGATGCTCAGTCCATACACACAACAGAAACCACCCAACAACACCCTTGGGCACTTTTTCTTAAAATCTGAAATTTTTAAAAATTTTTTCTGTCTGTTTTGTTTTGTTTGAGGCAGGGTCTTGCTTGGTCTAGAACTCACTATGTAGACCAGACTAACTTCAAACTCATAGGAAATTTATGGGCATCTCCTCCTGAGTCCTGGGGTTAAAGTGCAAACCACCATGCCCAGTTCTCTCTCCTCACTTTTTAAATTTTTATTGTTATTTTTGATTTTTTTGTTTGTTTGTTTTTGTTTTTCAAGACAAAACAAACTTTGTTTTGTTTTTTGTCTTTGTATAGCTCTGTCTGTCCTAGAACTAGCTCTGTAGATCAAGCTGGCCTCGAACTCACAGAGATCCTCCTGCCTCTGCTTCCAAAGTGCTAGGACTAAAGGCGTGTACCACACCACCTGCCTGGCCTCCTCTCCTTAAAAAAAAAAAAAAAAAAAAAAAAAAGATTCATTTATTTCTTCATTGTGCATGAAAATTCGTCATGGCTTGGACGTGTGTGCACGTGAATATGTGTTGGCACACAGGCATCATGGCTTGGATGTGGAGACCAGAGGGATCACTCTCAGGAATCTGTAGAATCCTTCTTTTCTGTGGCTTCTGGGGATTGAACCTAGACCATCAGGGTTGCCAGCAAATGCCTCTACTCAGTCAGTTATCTTGTAGCCTCCCCCCCTGCTTTGACATTGGGTCTCACATAACCTAGCCTCAAACTTGCTATGTGGCTCAGGGTGACCTTGAGCTTCATCCTCCTGCCTGATCTTGCCAGTATTGGGATTAAAAGATGTGCTACCATCCCACTATTTTTCAATAGGGGCAGGAGACAGGCTGCAGTTTATAATAATCCTTGCCTATGGTAAATAAGCAAAGGGCAGAAGAATTTCAGGAAGTATCTTCTTTGATGACAAGGACCTAAAAGCAGGAATGTATAGAACTCCTAAAGAACAGCTGTGGAAACAGAGTGTCACTATGTAGTTCTGATTGTCCTGAAACTCACTGTAGAGACCTGGCTACCCCTGAATTTTCAGCACTCTCCCTGCCTCTGCCTTCCAAGCAAGTCCTGTCACTACAGGCGTGTGCTACTATACCTATAGGGTATAGTGAAAAGTGAGGGGACAGGTAAGAAAAGGTGAGATGCTGATCACAGAAAAACAAAGAGTCCTGTTAGGCTTATGGAAATCAAGTTATAGTAAAGTTATTAGGGTTTTTTTCTACTTATTTAAAATTTTTATTTTACATACTATATATACAATATTTTATGTTTATATATAAAGAGAGAGTTTGTCTTTGTGTTTGTGTGTGTTTTTTGCTTGCATATAAGTCTGTCTGCTTGTGTGTGTGCCTGGTACCAGAGATGCATTGGATCCCCCGGAACTGGAGTAACAGACGGTTGTGAGCTGTCATGTATTTGCTGAGAGTCAAACCTAGGTCTCCTGGAAGAAAAACCAGTGCTCTTAACTACTGAGCCATCTCTCCAAGCCCATATTCAAATCATATGGGAAAGTTATGATAATAAGATGAACTGTCAGGTAGAAGTGCTTGCTGTGAAAGCTTGAGTTTAATTCCTGTGGAAGGAGAAAATTGACTTCCTAAAGTCATCCTGACATGACACGGAACTGGACCTGCTGGCACATGCCTGGATCCCAGTGACAGTTCCTGAAAGACTGAGGCAAATTGATTCAGAGTTCAAAAAGTCTAAGCAAGGAAGCAATGAGGATGAGAAAAAGAATTAAGAAAAATGTTGGAGAAAGGGAGGTGTATGCTTTATGCATGTCAGGAAAACAGCATAGGATGGGTTGCCTTGAAAAATTAATTTTTCTTCCTTGATGTTGAGCAGTGTAGATGGTCTGTGCATTGTAGAGAGGGTCATGTGACATGACTGACCAAACAACACTAGAATTCTCTCACCAAGCAAGCCTATACTATGTTCCAGGTACTTTCTGGAGGATAGGTTAAGACAGTGAACAGTGGTTTGTTTGGTGTCTAGCTAATTAAATGCTTGCCTGGCATACATAGACCCAAGATTTGATACCCAGCACTCCATTAACCAGGCATGGTGACACAGGCCTATAATCCCAGCACTACAGAGACAAAGGCATCAGGATGAGAAGTTCAAAGTCATCCTCAGCTATAAGGTGGGTTTGGAGCTTCTCTGGACTACGTGAGACCCTGTCTCAACAAATCAGGGGCTGGAGAAACAACTCAGTAATTAAAAGCACTTGCTGTGTAATCATGAGGACTGGAGTTCAACTCTCTCATCAGATGTGGCCTGTGACCCAGCTCCAGGGCAGGGAGAGATGAGGCATGATGGGACGATCCCTAGAACTTCTAGCCAAACCTAAAAACAGTGAGTCTTGGGTCTAGAAAGAGTGTAGGCAGAATATTCTGTCCCACCTGCCAGCTCCAATAACCACGCAGAAACTTATTCTTAATTATAAATACTCAGTCGATAGCTTAGGCTTGTTACTAACTAGTTCTTAAAACTTAAATTGACCCATATATATATATATATTTTTATTTATTCTCTACCTGTTACCTTTTTTCAACATGGCATGTTCATCTTGCATCTCCTAATGACTGTCCTCTTCATCCCAGAGAGCTCTCCCATCTGCAAGCCCCACCTAACTTCTTCCTGCTATTGACCATTTAGCTCTTTACTAAACCAACAAGAGCAACAATTCTTCACAGTGTAAAAAATGATTGTTCCACAACAGGAGAGGCTTTCTGAGACAGTGAGTTGATAGAGAAGGGAACCTGAAATCTTCTGGCTCTACACAGGAGAACACACCCAGAGAGAGAAAGATGGGGCTGTCATTCAGGGTAGGCAGTTGCGGGGCTCTGCCATGGGGGAGGGGCAGTTGTGGGACTATTTCCTGCATCATTTACTTTGACCTGCAGGTTTTTTAGAACTTGGTGAAGTGAGGACAAGGAAGAGAACATAAAGCCTTAGCATGATCGTGCCTCCAGCCTGAACCATAGGAAGCACTGAAGGCCCCAACAGGGCAAGATAGAAAGCTGTCCCATGGCAGTATGCCGGGTAATGAAGGTGCACGACAGCAGCAGCTTTAAATAGCAGGGTTAGAACAAGGATCAGAGCAGATGAAATATGGCCATGTCTCACTTTCCTACATTGAAAAATAGCACTCAGATGAGAGTGTATACAGCTCAGTAGTAGAAAACTACCTAAGCATATGGTGGTTCTGGGCTTGATCCCCCACATGAAAAGAAGATCCAAAACTGTTATAATTGGTGTTATTGTTGAGATAGTGTCTCATGTAGTCCAGGCTAGCCTTTTAAACAATTTTTAATGTTATTTTATGTGAATGGGTGTTTTGCCTACATGTGTATCTGTGCACTACATATAGGCCTGGTGTCCATGGAGGCCAGAGGCTATCAGGTCTTCTGGAACTAGTTACAGAAGATTGTGAGCTACCTACCGTGTGGCTGGTGACTTCGTCTGTTTTCCAAAAGAGGGTTTTTGGGGGCTCTTTTATGCATTTTGTTCTGCCTGCATGTATGCCTGCATGCCAGAAGAGGGCACCAGATCTCATTATAGATGGTTGTGAGCCACCATGTGATTGCTGGGGATTGAACTCAGGAGCTCTGGAAGAGTAACCTGGCTCTTAACCACTGAGTCATCTCTCCAGGCCTCAAACAAGGGTTTTATAGTATGTGTATTACTCAGTGGATGGAATCAAACTCAGAAATTACTCATGTTAGGTAAGTACATGTCCCCATTCAGAGGAAAAAGCAGCTTTAATATTAAAATGCTATGGTCTTCCTGACATGGTTCTTTGACAGTGCTGTCTATGGTGTGGCTTCCTAACTTCCCCAAAAGAAACCATTATGGGATCTGGAAAGATTGCTCAGTGGTTGGTGCTTGCCATACAAGCTCAAGGAGTTGGGAACCGAGCACCCGCATGAAGCTGGAGCTGGTGACATATGGAAAATGGGGACAGGAAAAGCCCTGGTGCTTGATGGCCACCCAATCTAGCCAAATTAGTGAGCTCCAAGTTCAGAGACCCTGCCTCAAGGAATATGACAGGGGTCAGCAAGATAGCCTGCCACTGAGGCTAATGACCTAGATATCTAGGATCACATGGAGGATGGAGAGAACCCAGTCCCAAATGTTGTCCTCTGATCTCCACATGCCATGGCAAGTACACACATGAACAAGAAATACACTAAAGTGTAATTTTGAAAAATAAGAAAAAAAAAGTTAGAGAGTGATGAAGGGAGACACCCAGCATCAGCCTCTGGCCTCCACATGTATGTGCATGCACATGTGGGTGCTTACACATACACACACACACATACACACACACATTGTGCTACACAGACACACAAAGGAAACCGTTAAGCCTCCTGCCTCTCCTGATCTCTGACCACTTGTAGTTTAGGATCACTTACAAGTGAGAGCCACAGTGTAGAACTGAGGACAGTCTCAAAGTGACCAGTGGTAGCGGGAAGGCTCCCTCATGCAGGAGCAGCCACACAGATCAGTCACAGAGTGTGTCTATCATGGAAACAAAATCTAGATCCAAAGATCTGACTTTCTGGACAGCAAATTGTGACACCCTTCAAATCTTTATTTATTTTGTTTAATCTGTAAAAGAACACAGAAGAAAACCCAACCTCATGCTTCAGGCTCAGGGAAATGGTATCAGATGTTTGCCCTTTGTATTGTGTATGACTCTTGGAAAGTATAAGGCACAGAAGACCTTCCATGAGAGACTGGGGAAGCTGAACCATCTCTTACTGACAGAACTGTTACCTTTGTAGGACCAAGGCCCTGAGCTTCACCTCTGTTCGGATCCAGGAGGAAACACCACCACGGCGTCCGAGCCTCCAGAAGAGGTACAGAGATCCGGGGATGTAGCTCAGTCAGTGGAGTGCTTGCCCAGCACACATGAAGCCCTGGCTTCACTCTCGATGCCACATGCACTGGGCATGGTGGCACACACATGTAATCTCAGTCCTTGGGAGAGGGAGGCAGAAGGAGCAGAAGTTGAAGGTTACCCTTGGCCAACTCTATAGCTAGTTTGAGTGCTGGGATTACAAGCAGCCCACGATACCTGCGTTTCTGCCCAGCCTGCTTATACTTTATTGCTTTAAAAGTGGTATACAAAAACATACTTACACTTGCTCACAGATACAGCGTAGCACAGTAACTCAGAAAGTGAGTCAGGATGGTGGCATGAAATGGAGCCATAAGTTGTTTAACTCCCAAGAAGCACCCAAGCAGCTCTCCAAGTAGATGGTGTCCACTCCTTAGGAGAATAGCTGCTGCCAATGTGGTGGGCAGGTTCCTCTGTGCATCCCACAGAGGCAGTGATGCTGTGCACTGAGCCCGCAGCTCTCTCTGGGGGAATCCCAGCAGCCAGCACTATAGTGCCACCCTCTGCAGAGGCCATTGGCACTACATGAAATGTAATTCAAGAGAGAGAAATAGAGTTTTTACCCCTCCTGAGTAGGTCAGCATGTAATGTAGCCATGTCTACCTCCCAGGTATTTACAAGCGAAAATGAAGAACTCTGAAGAGAAACTGCCACCATACCTAACCCCAGAGAAGCTTCTCTAAGAGGATCAAAGATACAAGTCACACCCACTCCACATTCCCAGGCAGTGTGAATACTTAGTCTCGGAGACCTGTCCTTGTTGGAATCTACGAAGCAGCTTTAAGGGGAAGGGTGTCACACTGCAACATGTTACACAAGGTTTGAGCATTAATAAAGGCAGGGCTGTAATAATGCTAACACAAGGCATGTCCACATACTCTCAGAGGACATATGTCCAACTATCCACTCACTTGGCAAAGATTTAAGGCTGAAAGATTTTCAAATTACTAAATAAAGTGTGATTTTGACTAAGTGTGCAGCCTTGCCCTGAGCATTGTTTCCCACTTAGGCAGGTGTAATGATTTCTGCCCCAGGTTCAGAAGGCCTAAGTCATACACTTGGCCCCTGTTCACCAACCTCCTGGCCAGAATGCTTTTTTGAGTGCCCCTCTGTCCTGGTGAATTCCTATATGAGCAAATACTGTGGGAAAGGGCTCTCGATCAGAGCTGTGTGTCATCTATATAGGCTAGCGCTGTGTGAATCAGGACCTGAGCCAGATGGAGGCAACTACGGAACACAGGAGGAGAGGTGCAGCCATAGTGACATTAATGGAGTCAGAAGTCCTAATCTGAGCCTCGTCATTTGCCTTCAGTGCAAACTTCTGTGAAAGCACAGTGGCCCCAAAGTCTTTCCTGTCACTTGTCTATCTTTGCTCTTGTTCATCTTTCCTCCCCTTTGATCTTTTGAAACAGGGTCTCATGTAGTCCAGGTTGGCTCTCAACCACCTGCACATGCTAAGATTCCTAGTGTGTACTGCCATACCCAGCTTGCCTTTGTTCTTGGTCTGACAGACAGGTCACCAGCCACTGTCATTCCTATGCATGCAGTGAGAACCTACTCTGCTAAGTAGAGTGGCAATGCACGATGAAAGGCAGGTACCAGAGAAACAGGAAGAGGGAAGGAAGAGCCCTAGAGCAACCATGGGACGCCAAGCAGACCTGCAGGTCAACAGGGTCACAGGAGGACACATAGCAAACACTAGTGAGAAATTATTCAAGGTCAAGCTTGAGAAACGAGTCTGGCAGTGCCACTTGCTGAAACTGACCACAGAAGGAAGCTCACTTATCTGGATCCTCTGGTTGTAAGAAATGGGCAAAATGAAGCAATGGAGGATACCTAGGCCAGTGGGCAGTTCATAGAGCTGAAAGAACAGCTAGATATAAGAAAAACAAGACCAGCTCATGGAATCTGTGGAGGGTTGGGGTGGGGATTCTGCTGCCCTGGCCTCCACTGCAGCTACCACCTACCTGGCACCATGTTGTCTTCAGTCCTCCAGTACAGTGGAGAAAGAGCCTGACGGGTTCCGTTTGTACACTATGCCTGACCAGCAGCAGGGAAATGGGAGCCATGACTGCCAGTGCTAGGGCAGAGGATGAAATGACATTATGGTGTCTATAATGACAAGAGGAAGGAAAGTGGTGAAGCTGGAGGTAAGGCAGACCCTTTACAGGTGACAGTAATCACACACCATCATAATTTTTACTATTACGGTGTTTAGTGGGTATGTGCATGGGTGGAGGCTTTCCCAACTGTACAAGACTATTATGGACTATTTATTAGACATCAATTATGTCCTGGGCTATAAACACTAGTTCTAGGGGACCCACGGTCCCCAAACAGGACATAGAATTTGAGGTATTCCCAGAACTGATTTTTTTTTTTCCATTTTGTGTCTGTATAATCTAGCAAAGAGAGAGGCTGGTAACTGAATTATTTTTTCATCAATCAGGAAAATGCTTCCTTAATCAGAGCCTCCCATATCCTTTGATACCCAGAGAGGACTGGGCACAGAGATGTGCTTGTCTTTTTCCATCAGACACTCCTGCAGGGTGAGTAGGCAGGCCTTCCTTGCCCTGTGATGAACTTGTGGATATATACAGTGGCCATCTGGATGTGCAAGCAAGCACACACCCATTATGGTGAGTCCAGGGAGAGTCAAAACCACATCTGGGCATAGGTTCCTGGACCCAAACCCTTAGGAATCTTTTTTTTTTAATCAAGCCCTATTATTTCTGTTGAAAAAGCATGTCCTCCATAGGCTGTCTTTCCTCAGAACAGTAGTCTGGGGAGGGGGTGCATGCTGAGAGTGAGAGAGAGAGAGAGAGAGAGAGAGAGAGAGAGAGAGAGAGGAGATTCTCAAATGACCCTGCCTGCTTTCACTAGCTTCCCTAGAAAACATTCCCTCTGTGGCATTCTCAGAATTACTACTTCCCAGTGTGACTAGGGGTCATCGCAGAGTAGAGAAGAGGCTGGGAAGGCAGGCTGCTCCTATGTTCCTCCATCTTCACCCTCTGGCAAAACCCTTGGGGGCAGCATATGTAGTTCAGTTGGTAGAGTGCTTGTTTAGCATGCATGAAGGCCTAGACTTGATCCCCAGTGCCACATAAACCAGACATGCCAGCACACACATCAGCCCAGTCCTCAGGAGGTGAAGGTAAGAGATCAGAAATCCAAGTCACCCTTAAATGCTGCATAGAAAGTTTTCAAACCACTGTGGGAAACATGAGACCCTGTCTTTAAAAAGAAAGAAAGAGAGGGGGGAAGAATGTGTGTGTGTGTGTGTGTGTGTGTGTGTGAGAGAGAGAGAGAGAGAGAGAGAGAGAGAGAGAGAGAGAGAGAGAGAGAGAGAGAGAGAGAGCATCTGATGCTTCTTGCTTTGCTTTTGGCTTGCTCATTTTCAGGCTGTCTCCTTCCCAGACATTGGGAACACTTTCTGGGAGTGGCCCGTAGCCACACTGTAGGACTTCCAGTCTGTTGGGAGGAAGAAGTCTGGAGCTGCTACAACAGAGGTACAGCTGGAATGGAAAATGCACTCGGTGTGACTGTGGCATGTGACCCCACTACCATCTCCAAGGAGGCAAGAGAAAAGGCCCATCTGCTCAGCTAGGATGGACAGTCCCAGCTGGGAACCAAACTGTTTATCCAGACATTGTCCAGGAGAAAGGCGAGGGCACAGAAGACTACCACCATAGCTGCAGCACACGAAAGCCCATAAAATGAGGTGAAGATAAATACCATTTGTCTCCTGTCTGCCCTGAGGTCCCTAGAGGTCTACTCACAAAAGGCTGGCTGTCCCAGTTTCTGGAGCTTATGTTTCACCCTTAGAGAACACTGGAGGTCCACATGAGACTCCTGCCTGACCCTGTGTCTCTCCACAGAGAAGTGGCCAGATGCCCCCAGTCTCGAAGAGTATAGAAGACCAGAGCTGGGCTTGATGTGCCAACCTGTAATCTAGCACTGCCAGCAGAACAGAATCTGAGGCCAGCCTGTGCTGCAGAGAGTCTACACATATGACACAGTTGGATTGACAGGTTGCACTGAAGAATGTAATACACAAGTGCTTACCAAATTCCTCCATTTATGCCAAGTCCAGTGCTTAGCTTATTGACTATTTTTTCCTGTAGCCTTGTGCTGCTTTTTTTTTTTTTTTTTTTTTTTTTTTTGGCTTTTCAAGACAGGGTGTCTCCGTGTAACCCTGGCTGGAACTCACTCTGTAAACCAGGCTGGCCTCAGACTCACAGAGATCTGCCTGTCTCTACCTCCTGAGTGCTGGGTTTAAAGGCATGTACCACCAATGCCCAGCTTAGCCTTATGCTTCTTAATATATTTAAATGCCCACGGGAAAATTATAATCAGTAAACCTTTGAAAAATATTTATTATGTGCCACACAGAGAAACCCTTTCTCGTAAAGCAAAACAGGAAGAAAAAAAAAAAAGAAACAAAGAAAAAGAAAAGGAAGAAAAAAGGAAAATATTATTTGTGTGTCTGCATAGTGCATGTGCATGCAAGCAGGCATAACATGCATGTGAGGTTCAGAAGACAACTTTTTGGAGTTGGTTGACCTTCCACCGTTAGGTGGTTTCCACAGATGGAACTCAGTTGTCATGCTTACAAGGCAAGTGCCTCATCAGCCTCAGCAAATAATTTGTGTGCCTGCTTGTGCCGGTCGAAGCCAGAAGAGGGCATCAGATTCCCGGGGACAGGAATTTCAGACGGTTGTAAGCCGCCATAAGGATGCTAGAAGCTGAACTCTGACTTTCTCCACCTAACCTCTGCCCCAAAGCAAACATTTTAAGGTTATAATTTAAAGAAAAAAAAAAGACATTTTATGAGAGCCAGGTGTGATTGGTCAGGTCCAACCTCAGTGGGTAGTCCAGATAACACTATTAACACTAGCCAATGTTTACTGAGCACATAATTATATGCTAGGTAAGGCCTTAACCAACTCAACTCGTCCCAGCTCCACGGTAACACCATGATCCACACAGCTTTCCCTCAGAGAATCAGAAGTAACTCGTATTAGCTTACACAGCGGGCCCAGCTCCAGAGTCACTAAGTTCCTCTAGTTAATTTGGGAGCATTTCCTGCCACTGATGTGAGTCAAGCCACAGCCAAAGTGCAGCACAGATGAATATTTAAATTAAGACGCTCGCCTTGGGCTAGGACCAGGGTTGTGAAATGGCTTTGCAGGAATTGCCACTTTCAGTCCCCATTTTAGGGATGAGGAAGCCTGACTATCGAGGTGTTCAGGAATTTGCCCACAGCCACTCAGCTGGCAAGCGGTTGCATTGGGACTTTTAATCCTGCCCAGACCTCAGCCACACCCCTCACCCTCTCCACGCTCCACGGCCTCCCACGAAGGTCGCACGCAGAAGGTGCAGCTGGGGCCTGGCTTCTCGCCCTACTTGGCCGGAGCGCCCAGGTCCCGGGACACCGGGGGATCCGCGCGGGGGGACCTGCAAGCCGCAGGTAGCCGCGGGTGACGGCGCTCCTGCGGGTCGCGACCCCCACCGAGCCCGGCACCAGGGAGGGCGACTCCGGCCGGACAGTGGCCTTTCCTCCCGGGGGAACCAACCTGCCGAGGGCGGCCCCGCGCTCCTTCCTGTCCCACCCACCGCGGCCCGGGCTCGGCGGCCGCTCAGCGCGGGGTCCCGGGCGCGGCCTGGGCGAGCGAATCGCGGCCGCTCCCACCCCGGCGAGTTCAAAAGGACGCGCGGCGCCCGGCCCTGCCCCGCCGCCCGTCGGACTGGAAAGGTGAGCGCGCGGCCGGGGAGCCGGCGAGCCAGGGAGCTTGGAATCGCACTCGGTAGCTGGAACCGGACCCGAGGCGGGGGACGCGGGGCTGTGGGGACCTTCGACGGCCTCGGGGGAGCGGGCACGGGGTTCCCGGGGAGCGGGGCGGACCCTCTGGCCGGCTCCGCAGGTCTCCAGGTAACGCAGGTGGCCGAGGTGCCCGGATCGCTTCAGGCGGAACCCGGTCGGTTGCAACCCTTGCCTACTTTCACAGGCCTGGAAGTGGGCGGCCTAGGGAAAGGGTCGCCAACATGACACGTCCCAGAAACACCCGGGCAGGGATTTGCTCTTGGGAAGGGATTTGCTTATGAAAGTTGATTAGATCCTCGGAGAGAACCAAAAGGGACGTGTGGGGACACATCAGGGGGAAGGGACTCAGGAAAACCTGGTGCCTCGAGCTCTCCTGGCATCTCCGGGTAATGTAACCTCAGGACCCCATCCACCGTGTTTTTGTTCTTCCACAGATCTGACCCTAGGAGATACTACTCTGCCTTGGGCAGCGATGACCAGCCTACTGGCTACACCTTCTCCTGAAGGTAAGTGACAGAATAAATGGAGTATGAGAACTGTTCAACAATCCACATCCCACCCCACCCCTAACCAGTCTCGGAATTCCGCGAGGCCCCAAATGTAGACTGGAAGACCCTCCTCCCTCCCCGGCCTCACACAGGAAAAGGCTCCCGGAGGAAACAGGATTGAACTACAGTGTGCTCTTTAGTGCTGTTTTAGTCTAATGTCTGGACCAGGCCGGCTTTGTAGTAACCTGGGTTTATTCCGTTGTTTTAAGCCCAGAGGAGTCATTTTTACATTCACTCGTGTAGTTGAAGGTGAGAAAGGACCTTCTAAAGATAACTGAGAGGGCTTGGATGTAGCTTAACTGGTAGAGTGCTTTACAGGCTTGGATTCAATCCCCAGTATGGAATGAATCCTGCAGGAGGGAACCCACTGTGGTGGAGGCCTTGTCCCTTCTCCCTGCAACTTGGGAGATAGAGGCAGGAATGCCAGAAATTAAAATTATCCTCTGTTACATAGTGAGTTCAAGTCCAGCCCGGGCTATAGACCCTGTCAGAAAGAGGGATGGAGTGGGTGGTGTTTAAAATTCTGGAAGCCAGGTGGTGGTGGCTTGTAGTCCTGGAAAGAGAGCCAACCTTACAATTCACTTCTTGTGCCCCTAGACCTGTGCTGGGCAAGGATCTTAGGTGGTGAATTAATTCTTACCTTTCATGTCCTAACCAGGCTGTGTCTGGCCCACTGACAGATATTTACATATTGATTGTTTCTCTTTGTGCTAGCCAGGGCATGGGAGGAACAAACCCTTGATCCATATATCCCTTTGTTTGTTATGGATAGTCTCATTTTTGATGAGGGTCACTTGGAGTGACACTGCTTTGTTGGTCTGAAGACAGGAAGGGAAGACAAATCTAAGGCAGTTTCCCCTGGGTTTAGTCAATCTGAAGTACTGGATTCAGACTTACCTGGTGAGAAGAGGTGAGCAAAGAGACAGACAGACAGACCTACATACCAGATGTCTAGATTGATGGGCCAAGGTTACTGAGTGGGGAGAAGAGTTATGCAACAAATTCTTTAGATGAGGGTAGGTTCAACCCTTTTGTGTCTATTCATTTCACTTAGTGCAATGCCTTCAAGGGTCATCTATGTTGTAGATTGTGTCAGAATTTCCTCCATTTTAAGTTTTAAGTAATAGCCCATTATATGTGTGTATATTTTGTTTAGCCATACATAAGTGAATATCTGGCTGACGTTTCCATCCTGTTGGATATACATGTCAATTATAATATTTTTAAAGAATCACCATACAGTTTTTCATAGCAGCAGTGTTATTTATATCCCCACAAGCACTGCACAAAGGTTCCAATTTCTCCATATCCTCCAACACTTGTTATTTGGTGTGAGTATGATGCTCGCCATCTCAGTATGTGTGAAGTGCTATCTCATTGTGACTTTGATTGTTTCCCTGGTAACTAGTGATGTGCAAGCACATTCACATGTGCTTGGTGACCTGGGTGTCTTTGGAGACGTGTCTGTTCAAGACTATGCCCATTTTTTTTGAGCATTTATTTATTCATGTTGTGCACATCTGTGTGCATGTGCTCGTGTAGGTTACCCAACCCTTTTCATCCACACATGCTGGAACACAAGTGGAGGTCAGGGGTCAGTTTCCTGGAGTCAGTTCTCTTCTACCACGTGGATCCCTGGGATCCAGCTCAGGCTGGCAGGCTTGGTGGGAAGTGCCCTCACCCACCGAGCTCACCGGCTCCTTGCCCATTTTAAAATTGTGTTGTTGTGTTGTTGTGTATTTATGCTCTTGGTTCAACAAGTGATGTGAGTGGGGGTGGAATTTTAGGACAAACCAGCTCCTCAGCACCCCCTCTACCTTCCTGCTGTGTTCCCTTCACATCCCTCCTCCTCAGTCAGGATTAGGGAATTTACAGGAATGTTGGATCACACTACACTGAACCATGGGGCTCTTTCCGCTGTTCAAAAACAAACCAAAAAAAACTTTAAAATGTCTATTTGTCAACCTTACTGGGATAAAACTATGGTAGCATTAATATAGTAATGTTTGCCTTTAATTCTAGCACTCGGGAGGCAGAGGCAGGAGGATCTTTGTGAGTTCAAGGCCACCCTGGTCTACAGACCCAGGTCCAGGACAGCTAGGGCTGTTACACAAAGAAAACCTGTCTTGATGCCCCACTCTCCAAAATATAATAATGTTTATAATGAGTATTTTTGGATGAGGATATTGTAATGAATAATTAATTGGCTTATATTTTAATATTATTTAAAAGCTTATTTTGGTTTTTAAATGAAATTTAAGTCATTAAAATGAAACCATTAAAAGACATTTCCATAAACCCCTGAGATTATTGTGGATCAAGGTGTCAGCCAGCCCTGTTGCAAGTAGAACCAAATGGAACCCTGCCTTGGGAGCTCTGCCCACCCCAGCAGGGAAAGCCTATCCCTTGCCACTCTGTGATCACAGTGGCTTCCTCCCAGGTGGTCTCCACCATGTACTAGACTTAGCACTTTTTACTGGATTTATTTCTCAACACACCAAGCAGGGTTTATTCTTATTTTATTAAAGCAAAAATTGAGTTTGAGAAAGTTAAGAAATTTTTCAGTGATTAAGAATACTTCCCAGGGCCTGGAGAGATGGCTCAGAGGTTAAGAGCACTGGCTGCTCTTCTAGAAGTCCTGAGTTCAGTTCCCAGCAACCACATGGTGGCTCACAGCCATCTGTAATGAGATCTGGTGTCCTCTTCTGGCCTGCGGGCATAAGTGCAGGCAGAATGCTGTATTCATAATAAATAAATAAATCTTTAGAAAAAGAACACTTCCCAGTTAAAAAGAAAGAAAAAAGAAATTTTCCTATGGTGCAGCTGATCAGAACAGAAGCAAGGCTTTGTGCCAAGCCAGAGCTATTCCCAAGTTGTGTCCTTTCCCTCGTGGCCTATTGCTCCTGAGGTCTCCTTCACCCAGCCCGCATCAGAGTGCATGAGAGGCATGAGGAGGGACAGAATCCCAGAGTGGGTTCCCATGGAAAGAAGGATTGTGGGAGCCGCCCCTGCCTGGGCAGGTCTAGAGCAAATAAGCAGGTTGGCAGCTTTAGGTGGCAATGGATCTGATACCTCCTTGATAAGAGCCTTGGCATACCTGGAGACAAGAGGGACAAAGAAATCAGGGAGAATCTGGGTCAACAAAAAGAAAGGTGTGTGAGCTGATCTGGGCGAAGCCCCTGAGCCTATGGCCACCCACCCACCATGCAGGGGAGATGGAGAGTAGCATATTTCTTCCTTTGGGAAAACTGACAGGAACTAGGGATCCAAGTTAGGACCTTAGGCATGCAGAACCCACATCAGCGCTGATACACCCACAGCCCAGGTGCCTCCTGTAGGCGCCAGGCGTTCTGGATTTAGATTACTTTGTTGCTGTTGTCTATGTTTTCATTGTAAAAGTGTAACTAGTTGGTTGTAATAGAGCATGTGTGAAGCACCAGCACTCTGCCCTGGTTTGCAGTAACCATTGATTCAAAAGCAACCAAGGTCAACAGGGCACCTACGGTCAAACCAGCATGGATAAACCTCATGTCAACCTTTGAATCTCCTCAAACCCTCCCCATCCTCACTCCTAAGGGTGATTTGAGCAAATTGAAGTTTCCAGAGAGGAACTTCCACCATCTCCCTATTTCCTGCTGAGGCGTCCACCTACGCCATCTCCCTGTTTCCTGTCTACTTCTGCCATCTCCCTGTTTCCTGTACCATGTTCAGGTTCTCTGCTCTCTGTGACAGTGCATTAGCCATCGGCAGCCAATCCCTCTGTTGCTACATTAGATCCCATCCCTTGAAGACAGGGCTCTGGATACCCTATCAGTTGTGTGCTATGAATTGTTTGCTCTGTGTGAGTCATTCCTGAGTCCATATGAGACCTGCTGGCACTTCCCCATTCTAAAAGCAAAAACAATCAACTCCCTCAGGCTATGTAACAGCTCCATTTCTGTATTCACCTTTACAGAAAAACTCTGGAAGAGCATGCTTTTAACTAGGTCTTTAAACCCAGCACTTGGGAGAGAGACAAGCAGATATCCAAGTTTGAGGCCAGCCAGGGCTACCTAGGAAAATACTGCCCCTGCCACCACCAGCCCCCCCCCCCCAAAAAAAGAAAACTTTACTCATGGGATGAGAGTGGGGATGGCTCAGTGACCATTCAATAGTAACCAAGTTCAAATCCCCACACTCACAGAAAAAGCCAGATATAGCAAGCAAAGCAGGCCTGTCATTCTAGTGCTAGGGAGGTGGAGATAGAAATCCCGGGCTTGCTAGCCAGTCAGTGTAGCTGAATCCATAAAATCAGGTTCAATGAGACACCCTGTCTCAAAAAGTAAGATGAAGAGTAATTATATACCTGACATGGACCTTTGATCTCACACACAGACACACACACACACACACACACACACACACACACACACACACACACTCTCTCTCTCTCTCTCTCTCTCTCTCTCACACTCACAGAGTTTATATTTTATATTCTGCCTCCAGTTCCTCTTTCCGTTTTTCTTGAACCTGCCCTAAACCACAGCTTTGCATTCAACTAGAACTTGTCTTGTGACGGTCATTTTTTTGTGGGTCCTGTGGTAAATGCACAAAAGCCCAGGTGTTTGATTGATTTGACTGCTGTGTGTATGCACTGACCTGCCCACCTATCTTGTCCTCCCAGCCTCCTGTCTTGAATATGCTAATGACTTTTATTTTTTTTTTATAATTTATCTTTTATGTAATTGGTGTTTTGCCTGCATGTATGTCTGTGTGAGGGTGTTGGATCCCGCTGGAACAGAAGTTACAGACAGTTGTGAGCGGCCATGTGGGTGCTGGGAATTGAATCCGGGTCCACTGGAAGAGCAGCCATTGAACCTGGGTCCTCTTAACTGCAAAGCCATCTTTCCAGCCCTGACTTTTAAAAAATATGGCACTGGGGATCAGACTGAAGGCCATGCACATACATGCTAGGCCAG